CCCACTGCTGGGGGTGCCGCCAGTAGTGGTGCTCACACTACTCTGCCTGAGAGGAGCTGCTAGAGGAGCTGTTGACTCTTTATTAAAGTTTTAATAATTACACCCTTGAAAGAGAAAGAAATGCTTCTTAAAAGAGCAAAATGTTCCCACTGCCTAAAAATAGATTTGGGTTGATTATGCTGAAACAGGATCAGCATTCTGGAAAGGGCCACCTGTTAGGCTGTGGATCGCCGGCTACAAATCCTAATCCTATCTGCATCAGTATTTGTTCAAATATGAAGGTAAAAGGAAAGAGCATGATTGCAGCAAATACACAGGAAAAAAGAAAAAGCCCCATAGTCCCCCTAATTTGGATAAAAAACACTCAATACAGATGCTGTCCACACAGATCACCTCTTTCACGAGACTAAATCTACCTGATTTTCCATCCACTAAAAACTCTAGATTTTACTTCGTTTTTTCAGGTGGCTACTTACTAAATTTTGTTTTAGCATAAAAGCATTCTCAATGAATCCTATCTTTGGAAGCACCTGCTGAAAACAAGCACAGCATTACTCTGCAGAAACATGACACTGCAATAAAAAGGAAATTTTAATTCATTCTCTGTCTGTCTGTCTGTCTGTCTGTCTGTCTGTCTGTCTCTCTCTCTCTCTGGAACCAGGGATGGAACTCAGGCCCTTGCACTTGCCAGGGAAGTGCTTATTCTACTGAGCCGTCTCCCCGACCCCTTTAATTCTCTTAACTAATACAATTTTTTTTAACTAATACAATTTTGAAAAACATTCCATTATCAATTTTTCTATGTAGAAAGTTTGCTAAAACAGCACTTTCCTATGTTAGTTCCAATCTTTTTTTTTTTTTTTTTTGGCAGAACCGGGGATTGAATTCAGGCCCTTGCGCTTGCCAGGCAAGTGCTTATTCTACTGAGCCATCTCCCCAGCCCCCATTAGTTCCAATCTTAACAACATCAATTTAACTTTTACTTATGATACAGATGTCATTATGACTAACATCCCTGAGCATACCAAGAAAACAGTCCACACAGAATACTCCTTAAGGGAAAAAGAACAGTAAACAGCATAGGTCACTATGGGCACTCATAGCAAACCCTTAAATACATTAAGTGATAACTCACTTTTGCTTGAAGACATATAAGGATCTAGGAGCAGAGGAGGGCATATTTGTGCATATGGGGTGTGTGTGTGTATCTGTTAAGAGAAAAATGGCAAATTTAAAGAATTATGAATAATGTAGTATGACTAGAGATACAATATTCAGTGTGTCAAGATGAAGTTAGGAGGTTTTTAAAAGAGATACTAAGGAGTCTAGATTTTACTTAAAGACAATGAGAAGCCATTTCAGAAATCTCAGAATAAGAAACATAAGCAAATTTATAATTCACTTTCGCTCAAAGTGATTTAGCTAAAACACATGGTCAATGTTTGAAAGGAACACAGGGAAATAAACCAACAGCATAAAGTATGCTGGGAATTCAACAATTCATACAATTAAGACTAATCATATTGTTATAAAATGTTCTTAAAGTTCATCAAGAACAATACATGTTGGGGCAGGGGAGTTAGCTCAGTAGAATAAGTGCCTGCCTGGCAAACGCAAGAGCCTGAGTTCAATCCCCGGTTCCGCCAAAAAAAACAAAAGAAAACAAAAAAACAAAACCTGGATGCTTTTTTAAAAAGTAAGAGAAGAAAGAAGTGCCCTCACAGATTAAACACATGCAAGGTGTAATACTGCTTTCACTTCTGCACATCATCAAGGTCCACATATTTATTTCTCTTCTATTGCCCAAGTACATTAAAATGATAGTAAAGGGCCAAATAGCTCAGCAAATTGAAGCACCTGCAGGCAGGCTCAGGAGCTGGGGATTCCATCCCCAGCCTGCCATGCCGGCCCTGCCCCTGGGGCGTGCTGAGACAGCAACTGAGACTGCGCATGGTGCCTGTAATCCCACCTCTTGGGAGGCTATAAACAGGTGGATCACTACGAGTTTGATCTAGTAGTGAGACCCTGAACACCCTGTAGACCCTTCCCTAAAATAGAAATAAATAAAATGACAGCAAAATATAAAATGTAATAAATTAGTAAATGCACTAGGATTTTGGAAGTGGATGTTGAACCAAGAAAAATCCTGATAGTTTATGACAAGGAAAAAAAAAAAAAAGAGAACAAAATCACACTGGCAGACCTGAAAAGCAGCATCCACATTAAGAGCAGCATACACGGAGGAGACAAGGAAATGGGACCCATTCTTCACAACGTAGCTCAAGTCCAAAGGTACAGGAGGTGCAAAGGATAAGGGAGCTAAGAGATTAGTGGACATCAGTGGACCATGACCAGGTCTCCCTCTCCTTAGACAGCTAATACTATGGATCTTTACTGAAGATCTAGTCCCTTCCACTGATACAAGTAAACAGAAAGCAGCAAGGAGACATGGAGACAGATTTGTGAAACATCAAGGATAATTAATTTATAGGACTCTGTCTCCAACAGGAATGTTGTGGAAGGAAGCAAAAAAGGCCAAGTATAAGCCCCAGGGTTTGGGGTCAGTTGTATGAGAAGCTTCCACAGCAGATCTGTTCTATTCAGTTCTTGCTGCAGCCCTGACAATGATTCATGATTTAACTCTGAGATGGAATTACCAGACAATGTTATATTATTTGTTGAAAGAGTGAGTCAAGATAAACCAGGCTGATAGTATGTTAAAATTAAACACAGATCTCACGATACACACACATGTGGTACCAGATGTGGATTTGTATCTTGGTTGGTCATACCACAGGGAAATGCCTCCAAAGCAGCTCTTTCAGCACTAGGAATTCTTAGAAACTCAAGCTGACCTTCCTGGGCAAAGAGATTTCATGTGTCTGAGACCTGAAGTCTGCATGTGACCTCTCTGTGTAGGAGTAGCTTTTTCCTGTGGGTTCTGTACTGCACACTTTGCTTAACAAACTTTAGCCATGAACAACACAGCTTTTATAGAGGTGTGAGAGTTCGTTCTTCAAAACATCCACTGAACTAGTTAGTGGCCATGGACCCCCAAACAGGACTGCTGAATGGAGAAGAAATTGAGGGATCTTTGGAACCTCGAGGGGGAGGAAATGAATTTAATTTTCTGATTATTTCAAGAATATCTGCTGATATATTGTGTGATACTGTTCCAAATTTTATATGTCATCTCTATGTCAAAAATCAGTACTGTAAGACAGTTCGGTTTACTTATAACCCTTCTCTAGATATCTACCATGAATTACATACTCTGCTAGGTATTAGGGATGAAAAATTAAGGATGAAAGTTGCTTTCTCTTTCTCCTTGAGGTGCTGGGGATCAAGCCCAGGGCCTCAAATATATTTAGCAAGTCCTCTACCACTGAGCCACATCCCAGCACTCTTAGAAGTGCTCTTAACCATTCTTTGCCCACAGTATTCTAGACATGGGCAGTACAAAAGATTACATCTTTCAGTCATGCTGAGGTTGAAAGACTTGCATTGTGGCAGTGATGGATCAACCTTCTCGCAACAGCTCTTCTACAGTAACACCTAAATCTGAATAATGAGCTACTCTACAGTTGACTCGAGAACAAACCAAAGGCAGCCAAAGTGATGAAGAAACTATTATTAGAATCTATCTCTGCTTCCTGAGGCTGAATACAATCATCTGGCAACTGAATAGCTTTGCTATCCCTACATAAGTTTATGTTCTTTGAAATGATCTTTTCCTGCAGAGTTCCTAATATAATAGCAAAACTAAAATACCATTTTTCTATCCTGTTCTATATATCATTTTTAGGTTCTATTTGCCCTTACTAATGTCTTAGAAAAATCTATCCCATTTTATTCATATCTGCACATCAGAATAGCCAGTCTAATCTTTTAAACCCTAATGTCAGCTTAAAATTACCAACTTATCCCATTCTAAACCTTCTTAGAAACGTCAGATCATTTTTAAATGAAAAGATTAACAACTTTTATAATTATTTTGAACAATTCAAGGATTATACGTTGACATATTTTTTAAAATATAAACTGTATTTAAAAAAAATTTATCCATCTTTGATAATAAATGGTCTCTAGGATGCAGAAAAAATAAAACTAGAATACAGGGACTTTTAACAATGAACGGCTTCCTGCATCCTTCTAAAGTACATTTGCAGACTGCAGTCATTTGTCCCCAGTGTATACACTTCAGTATTTCAAATGAAAAACAAAGGAGAGATGTATATGAATACTATAAAAGTAGCTCTCTTTATACTATACAGAAAGCAAAGTAAACAATTTCTGAAGAAACAATGGAGCCTTGTCCAAAACAGAAGGGCCTGCTTTTCAAACTCCACTGTAGGTCCCATGTAAAGCAAAGTACGAAACGCCTCTAGTGCCTATCCTGTAAGTCGTAAATGGGAAGACAGCACAGCAAGTTGGCTACAAGCACTATGGAGTCAGTTGCCTGGGATTGAATCCTGGTCTCCCACTAACGTTTAAGTGAGTCACTTAACCTCTGTGCTTCTGTTTCTTCAATTTATAGGAAGGACCATAATATAGTATAACTAAATTTGCTTCAAATGAAATTCAATAGAAAGTACTAAATTAATGGCCGAATTTTAATTAAGTCAGAGTAAAGACAGAGCGCCAAGTCAATTCTCAACAAATGCTCTCATGTACTAACGCTCCAATGTGCTAATGCACCGACGCCTGCACTGACACAATGTAAAAGGTACGCCTAAAACACACTGCCAAAAGCTAAACAGCACGTAGGTATTGTAACGATGGAAAAAGACAGAATCAAGTGCCGAGTGGTAATCACTCAGGGCTGGGTTACAGGCACAGAGCTCCACGTGTCATTTTCTCCATTGTCATGCATGGTAAAGATTTCAAAAGTAAAGCTTCTCAGGAATAACTATGCTATTTCAAAAAGCATGATGGGGATGGAACTATACAACTGTCTAACAGTTCTGGGAAAAAATAATTTCTAATTTAGCAAAACTTACCTGGTATTGCTCTGGTTCTTATAATGGCAGAAAAATGATGCCTATCACGTACCTTACAAATGGACATATAACATTAGGTAAGACAAAAATGTATACAAATATCACTGTGCCGAATTTTGATCTAATATTTGAGTCTCCATTTTAAGAAAAAGTTACGCAATGAGTTACAGAGTATCTAACAGGCAACTAGATGCACAACCTGATCATTAGTACTAAAAGCTGTAAGATATGAGGCCAGCGAGATAGCTCAGCAGACTGAAGTGCCTGCTTAGGCAAGCACAGGGACAACTCTGATCCCCGGCAGCAGCACATCCTGTGCCAGCCCTGCTCCCGGGGCAGGCTGAACGCAACAACAACAACAACAACAACAAAAAAAAAAAAAAAGTTATACTGTCATAAATATACATTCTTGGCCTTTTAAGCACATCTACTTGCTCGGTTTCTATCCTTTATAAAGGGGAACAAATGGGCTGTCTTGATAATTCACAAGTCAATTCTAATCTACTACTGCTACAGAGCCATACTCTGCAGTTCTGGCTTGAAAAGTGAAAGAGCTAAAGACCAGAAGAACAGTTTGTTGTCTTCACGCTTAGAACAGCGTCCCCTTCAGCCTGCTGGAGAAAGACCACCATGTCTTTCACAGCTCTGCCTCTGCTCACTGGTACAGAAAGACGACCATGTGTGGGGTGACCACTGGGCTACATACAACCCTGGCCCCCAAGATGCGATTTTTACCAGAATTAATATTAACAAATGCAAGTGGATATTTATCCTTTGATTAAAAATATACTGGTAGGGGGCTGGTGAGATGGCTCAGTGGTCTAAAGCACCTACTTAGAACAAGCTTAGCAAAGCACAGGGACTGCGGTTCAATCCCCCAGC